ATTAAAACTAATAGGAGTTTACAAATTAAAACTAATAGGAATTTACAAATTAAAACTAATAGGAGGAACTAATAGGAGTTTACAAATAAAACTAATAGGAGTTTACAAATTAAAAACTAATAGGAATTACAAATTAAAACTTAATAGGAGTTACAAATTAAAACTAATAGGAGTTTACAAATTAAAACTAATAGGAGTTTACAAATTAAAACTAATAGGAGTTTACAAATTAAAACTAATAGGAGTTTACAAATTAAAACTAATAGTTTACAAATTAAAACTAATAGGAATTTACAAATTAAAACTAATAGGAGTTTACAAATTACTAATAGGAGTTTACAAATTAAAACTAATAGGAGTTTACAAATTAAAACTAATAGGTTTACAAATTAAAACTAATAGAGTTTACAAATTAAAAACTAATAGGAGTTTACAAATTAAAACTAATAGGAGTTTACAAATTAAAACTAATAGGAATTTACAAATTAAAACTAATAGGAGTTTACAAATTAAAACTAATAGGAGTTTACAAATTAAAACTAATAGAGTTACAAATTAAAAACTAATGAGAAATTAAAACTAATAGGGTTTACAAATTAAAACTAATAGGAGTTTACAAATTAAAACTAATAGGGATTACAAATTAAAACTAATAGGAGTTTACAAATTAAAACTAATAGGAGTTTACAAATTACAATTAAAACTAATAGGAGAGTTTACAAATTAAAACTAATAGGAGTTTACAATTAAAACTAATAGGAGTTTACAAATTAAAACTAATAGGTTTACAAATTAAAACTAATAGGAGTTTACAATTAAAACTAATAGGAGTTTACAAATTAAAACTAATAGAGTTTACAAATTAAAACAATAGGAATTTACAAATTAAAACTAATAGGAGTTTACAAATTAAAACTAATAGGAGTTTACAAATTAAAACTAATAGGAGTTTACGTTTACAAATTAAAACTAATAGGAGTTTACAAATTAAAACTAATAGGAATTTACAAATTAAAACTAATAGGAGTTTACAAATTAAAACTAATAGGAGTTTACAAATTAAAACTAATAGGAGTTTACAAATTAAAACTAATAGGAGTTTACAAATTAAAAACTAATAGGAGTTTTACAAATTAAAACTAATAGAATTTACAAATTAAAACTAATAGGAGGTTTAAAACTAATAGGAAACAATTAAAAACTAATAGAGTTTACAAATTTAAAACTAATAGTTTACAAATTAAAACTAATAGGAGTTACAATTAAAACTACAATTAAAACTAATAGGAGTTTACAAATTAAAACTAATAGGAGTTTACAAATTAAAACTAATAGGAGTTTACAAATTAAAACTAATAGTTTACAAATTAAAACTAATAGGAATTTACAAATTAAAACTAATAGGAGTTTACAAATTAAAACTAATAGGAGTTTACAAATTAAAACTAATAGGAGTTTACAAATTAAAACTAATAGGAATTTACAAATTAAAACTAATAGGAGTTTACAAACTACAAATTAAAACTAATAGGAGTTTACAAATTAAAACAGGTTTACAAATTAAAACTAATAGGAGTTTACAAATTAAAACTAATAGGAGTTTACAAATTAAAACTAATAGGAGTTTACAAATTAAAACTAATAGGTGTTTACAAATTAAAACTAATAGGGTTTACAAATTAAAAACTAATAGGAGTTTACAAATTAAAACTAATAGGAGTTTACAAATTAAAAACTAATAGTTTACGTTTACAAATTAAAACTAATAGGGAATTTACAAATTAAAACTAATAGGAGTTTACAAATTAAAAACTAATATTACAAATTTACAAATTAAAACTAATAAGAGTTTACAAATTAAAACTAATAGAGTTTACAAATTAAAAACTAATAGTGTTTACAAATTTACAAATTTAAAACTAATAGGAGTTACAAATGTGTTTACAAATTAAAACTAATAGGAGTTTACAAATTAAAACTAATAGTTTACTACAATTAAAACTAATAGAGAGTTTACAAATTAAAAACTAATAGGAGTTTACAAATTAAAACTAATAGGTGTTTACACAAATTAAAACTAATAGGAGTTACAAAATGTGGATTTAAAACTAATAGGAGTTTACAAATTAAAACTAATAGTTTTACAAATTAAAACTAATAGGAGTTTACAAATTAAAACTAATAGGAGTTTACAAATTAAAACTAATAGGAGTTTACAAATTAAAACTAATAGGAGTTTACAAATTAAAACTAATAGGTGTTTACAAATGATTACAAATTAAAACTAATAGGAGTTACAAATGTGTTTACAAATTAAAACTAATAGGAGTTTACAAATTAAAACTAATAGGTGTTTACAAATGATTACAAATTAAAACTAATAGGAGTTACAAATGTGGAGTTTACAAATTAAAACTAATAATACAAATGATTACAAATTAAAACTAATAGGAGTTACAAATGTGTTTACAAATTAAAACTAATAGGAGTTTACAAATTAAAACTAATAGGTGTTTACAAATGATTACAAATTAAAACTAATAGGAGTTACAAATGTGTTTACAAATTAAACACTAATAGGAGTATACAACTGTGTTCTCCCAAAGAAATACAACATGTCCTCTGACAAAGACCAACAAGCAGTGAAGAAATGTTAACACACTGATCGGTAAAATTATTCATAGCTTTTGACAACGTGCGACAAGTCCTTAGGCAGACACGCGAAAGAAAATATATCGAGAGACTTGAAAGTTATTTATGAGGATTAATTCCTTTTGGTGAAGCATACGAAGTTCGTTTAGAAAAAAACAACAAAACTGACAAATATTTTAACACAAATATTGAGTCAGTATATATTTTGTTAGTGTAATATATAGATAGAAATCATTAATGAAAAAAGGAACTAAAGATCTGATGGAAAAACAAAAAGCAAAAATTTGGACACCAATAAAACCCCGCCCATGTTTAAGACCTACAAACTCAAAAATATTTAAAGGTATATATATAAAGGTGTATAATATATACCGCTTTTTATATAAATCATCAAAAAAATCATGCTGGAAACTTTGAATGACAATAAACTTTCATCTAAATCATAATAAAGAAAAAAAATTGCTGTTCTTACCTTCTCCAAAGTTCTATTTCGAGTCAAAAGAATCGGAATTACATACATCTGACAACTTCATCTCATTATTATTATATGTGATTTCTAAGCCTTTTGGGATCATCAGAACTCTCAGTGACAAATGTGACATCCTTGGAAAAATAAACATTGCATACTTAATGTATATTTCTGATTATTACTACTACAATGCAGGATCCACATGAAATTGCAAATTAAAAAATCCATGAATTTATGAAAAAAATCTATCATAAATTACTTTGCTTAACAATATATATGTTTGTGTATATATGTGTGTGTGCGTGTGTGTATGTGTGTGTGTGTGTGTGTGTGTGTGTGTGTGTGTGTGTGTGTGTTTTATATATATATGTATATTTCTTTTTTCAAGCTTAAGGAAGGGGAGGCATGGTAATGGGAGAGAGGGAGTTGGAGGGAGAGAGAGAGAGGAGGGAGAAGAGGGAAACGAAGGGGGGGGGAGAGAAAGAAGAAAGAAAAAAGAAGGGGGTAGAGAGAAGAAGAAGGAAAAGGTAGAGAGAGAGAGACAAACAGACATATAATCATGGTGATAAATCGACCAAGAGAGACAAACAAGCAGACAGACATCGAGAGAGAGAGAGAAAGAAAACAACAAAAGAAAGAGAGAGAGACAGGGAGACCAAGCACGCAGAGAAAGAGAGAGAGAGAGAGAAAGAAAAAGAAAGAGAGAGAGACAGAGAAACCAAGCACGCAGAGAAAGAGATAGAGAGAGAGAGAGCGAGAGGCGCAAGCAGCCCCTCCACACACACCCCAGCAATGACACCCGACGAAGAAGAAGCAAAAACAAACAACAAGCAAAGCCACTCCCCGGGGACACACCAGCCCGACCCCCAACCATTATTACACATGACTTATCAGGAACAAGAAAAGTGATTGTGGTCGTGTTTGGCTTCTGCTTGTACAGGCACGCTGGTCTCTGCCTGTACGCCTCTCTCTCTCTTTCTTTCTCTCTCTATCTATCTGTCTGTCTGTCTGTCTGTCTTTCTCTTTCTCTCTTTCTATCTCTCTATCTATCTTCATTCTTCTCTCTTTCTCGCTCTCTCTCCTCTCTCTCTCTCTCTCTCTCTCTCTCTTCTCTCTCTCTCTCTCTCTCTCTCTCTCTCTCTCTTCTTCTCTCTCTTCTCTCCCTCTCTCCCTCTCTCCTCCTCCCTCCCTCTCTCTCCCCTCTCTCCCTCTCTCCTCTCCTCCTCCCTCTCCCTCCTCTCTCCCTCCTTCCCCGGCCCTCCTCTCTCTCTCTCTTCCCTCTCCCTCCTCCCTCCTTCCCTCCCCGCCCCCTTGTACACATGATGCTTGCTGTCTGCTTTCATTTTGCCTTCGATGTCCATGTCTTCTTTCGCTTAGTGCTTGTTGACAGCGTACTCGTGTTTGTGTGTTTGTGTGTTTGTTTGGACGCGCGTGTGTTTGTTTGTTTGTTTTTTTCTTTGTTTTGGGGTAAAAAAATTTGCAGATTATTCAATTCTGCCCGATGGCGTTGCTGTACAGGGTAATTAATGGGGATAATGATAGGAATCTGATAGGATTTAATGATGATGATAACGCTTGTAATGGTGATTATACCCTTGGTAATAACAAAGATAATTTTACTAACATTGACAATAACAGTAGCAATGATAATAATAATGATTATATCTTTATTCTCATCTTTATCGCTATCATTACCACGCCCATTACAACACACAACAGGAAGCCAATGAAGTAGCAACAACCCTAATACCCCCCCCTCCTCCCCCCCATTACAACAGACAACAGAAGCCAAGAAGTAGCAACACCCTAATACCCCCCACCTCCCTCCCCCCCCCCAGCCAACAGCCCCCCCCCCCCCCCCCTCCTCCTCCCGCAGGTGGCGAGGGCCTGGCGAAGAAATCCCTAGAGGCGGTGAACCGGTGGTCGGAGCGGCTGTACCACCTGTCGCCGGAGCACCTGCGCCACGACATGGCCGTGTGGCTGACCCGGACTGACCTGGGCGGGCCGTCGGGTTACGCTCCGGTGGCGGGCGTGTGCGAGCCGTCGAGGTCGTGCACCTTGAACCGCGACGAGGGTCTCACGTCGGCGTTCATCATCGCCCACGAGATGGGCCACGTGTGAGTAGCGCTCCTCGTCTCTCTTGGTCTCTCTCTCCTTTCTTCGTCTCTCGTCCTCTCTCCTCCCTCAATCTCTCTTTTCCTCTTGCTTTTCTCTCTTCTCGTCTCCTCTCCTCTCCTCTCCTCTCTCTTCCCATCAATCCTTTTCTCTCTACCTCTCTCTCTCCTCATCTCTTCTCTTCTCTCCTCTCCCTCCTCTCCTTTCCGCTCTCCTTCTCTCCTCTCATCTCTCCTCTCTCCTTCTCCTCCTCTCATTTCTCCCTTTCCCCTCTCCTCTTTCTCTCTTCCTTCTTCTCCTCTCTCTCTGCTCCTCTCTCCTCTCTTCCTCCCTCCTCCTCTCTCTCTCTCCCCTCCTCTCCTAATTCCCCCCTCCTCTCCTCTCTCTCCTCTCCTTCCCCTCCCCTCTCCTCTCCTCTCTCATCTCTCCTCTCATAATCTCTCCTCTCCTCTCTCTCCATCTTTCTTTCCTCTCTCCCTCTCCCTCCTCATCTTCTCTCTAATCTCTCCTCTCTCTTCTCTCCTCTCCTCTCCTTCTCCTCTCCTCTCTCTTCTCCTCTCCTCTCCTCTCTTCCAAGTCGCTGATAACCTTGTCTGTCGACGGCTGATGATTTTTTAATAATGTCTCCTCCTCATGGCACGTGTCCCGGACCTTTCCTTCTTCCCTTCTCGGTCGTGTGGTTCAGCTCGCCGCAATAATTTCTTTTCTCTCTCGAATGTCTCTTTAAAAAAAAATAAATAAAAGTGGGCAGCTTTATTAGAGTGCTTTAGGGTCGACATTCGCGCGGCTTTTATAACCCCCGTCTTGTTTCGCGCGTTAAGTCGAGGTCGCCGTCCGTAAAAACGGACAGTCCATTTGCAAGGGCAGATCGTGTGTCTCGAGAAAAGGGGTTTTGTCTTCAGCTTTGCCCTGTTTCCCGCTGTTTTCTTATTGTTATTATTATTATTATTATTATTATTATTATTATTATTCTTTGCCGCTGTTTTCTTCTTCTTCTTCTTCTTCTTCTTCTTCTTTGGGACTCTCTCCTGCATTTGGTTTGTAATTGTCCTGTTTCCCGCTGTTTGCTTCTTCTTCTTCTTCTTCTTCTTTGGGACTCTCTCCTGCATTTGGTTTGTAATTGTCTGTTATGTTTGCTTCTTCTTCTTCTTCTCTCTTTGGGACTCTCTCCTGCATTTGGTTTGTAATTGTCCTGTTTCCCCTTTTTTTTCTTCTTCTTTCTTCTTTCCTCTTCTCCTTCCTCTTCTTTTTCTTCTTGTCTTCTTCTTCTTCTTCTTCTTCTTCGTTTTTGCATCTCTCCTACATTTGGTTGGCAAAGATGTGAATTTTATCTTTCTCTCTTCTACGTTTCACTTAATGAAGATATGTGTTTTTCTCTTTTTTCTTCTGTTCTCTCTGCTTCGTTGTAAATCATCTTGTTCTTCCCTCACTTTCGTCTGTGTTTTTGTTCTCCTTTTTATCGTGTTCTTTTTTGCTAAATTTTGCCTTTTTTCTTTCTTTTCCTTTTCTTTTTTGTTTATATCATTTTCTCTCGTTTATTTATGAATCTCTTATCTTGTCTTAAACACACTTCTTTCTTGTTATTCATTTTTCTATTCTTCTCATCTCCTCCACTCACCTCCTTTTCTTCTTCTCTCCTCTCCCACATTTTATTTTTTCTATGTCTTTGTTTTGTTTTTTGTTTTTTTCACTTCGTTAACTTAATCTTTCCATTTTTCTTTTTCTCTCCCTTTTTTCTTGTGTTTTTCTTTCCTTTTTCTTCTCTCGTTCTTTTCCTTCCACCTTCTTTTTATTCTCCTCCTTTCTACTCTTCTTCTTATCTTTTCTCTTCTATTTCTCTCTCTGTCTCCTCTCCTCTTGTCTCTCTCTCTCTCTCTTCTCTTCTCTCTCTCTCTCTCTCTCATCTCTCTCTCTCTCTCTCTCTCTCTCTCTCTCTCTCTCTCTCTCCTCTCTTGAACTCACCTCACTATCCCTTTCCTCCCCTTCCTCTCTTTTCCTTTCCTCTCTTCTTTCCTCTCTTCCCTTCCTTCCTCTCTTCTCCTCTTCTCTTCTCTCTCTCCTTCTCTTTTCCTTCTTCCCTCTCCTCTCCTCTCTCTTTCTTTTCTCTCCTCTCCTCTCTCTCCTCTCTCTCTCTCCCTTCCCTCTTTTCTCTCTTTCCCTTTCTCTCCTTTCTCAACTCTTTCCTCCTCTCTCCCTCTTCTTCCTTTCTCTCTTCTCCCTCTTCTCTCTTCTCTCCTATCCCTCCTCACCTCTCCTTCCTCTCCTCTCCTCTTCTCTCTCCTCTTTTTCCTCCCTTTCCCCTCATTCCGTTGCTAGCAGTTTAACTCGTATTTTTTTTTTCAATCTTAACATGTTTCGTCTCCCCTCGAGTTGCCCGTTAGTAAATAATAGACCGAATTACCACGGCGTTCCGGGTTTTGGCCTTTTAAGGGAAAATAGAAGGTCGGGATATTGATACCGAAATTAGTACCAAAAACGAAACGAAAAAAGTTGTGTGTCTCGATAC